TTTCCTACCGCCACCACCACCGCCCCTCAGAAGAGACATCACTATTGCAATGAAAGCGACGGGTATAATAAAGGGTTGGGGAGGGGGGGGGGAACAAAAACAAGTCGGTGAAGAAAGCGTATATGAATGAGGAAGTCCAATGGAAAACAAAAATACTGGTCTTAATTAAGATCAAAAGAAGGAGCGCGAAGTTTTTATTTTTTGTTTTGTTTTTTGCTTACTCTGCTGACTTGCTTCTTGAAGTTTTGCTGTGAAGCTGTTCCCTTCATGATGGCTGGTGGATCTCCATGGTGTCTTTGGGACGCCCTTCGTGCAGCTGTACGTTCCTTTGCTTCTTTTGCCGTTGATTTTCTTTTTGTTGGGGGGGCGTCTACGGGAAAAGGGCATTTGACCCGCGATGAAGTCTAAGGGGGGAGGAGCGCCATCAGAGGCGGCGCACTGCATTTCCGTGTTGCTGGATATTTTGAAAAGTTTAGAGTTGTTGCTGCGACAACTTCGTGAGCTGGAAAGCCAGCGGCACGAAGAGATTGGAATTGCGCTGGAGAAAAAGATGGAAGCAGCGCTGAATGAACACCTTCTTAGACCCATACAGCAGTTATGGCACGAGATTTGTGGGGCTTTTGCATCGGCCGTGTCCCCGCACGGCGTGAACTGCGCAGTTCGGGAGGGACTTTGGGATGAATTGGCCCATCAGTGCGTCCAGCTCCCCTTTTTTAGGTCGATTTACGAATACGCCGTGGCTACACTTTCGGGGCTGACACTGGCAGCTGAGAGTCAAACGGTCACAAACTACCACTGTATTGAGTGGTTGTTGAAGGAACGAGAAAACATATGGGCGTCCGCGGAGTGGCAAATAACAAGTGAGTGGTTGAAAGGTTTTGTTAAACATTTACTTCTTGCCGCTGCAAATCGCGAGGAAAGTGAAGGCGTCCACCTGGGTCACTTGGAGAAAAGCGTCGCACTGGCTAAAGAAACCTTTCAAGAGTTCAGCGCACAAGGGAAGCAAAAATACTCCCGAAGAGTTGACGCGCTCACATCAGATGGGAAGTCAGACGAAGATGCGTTTGAGGTGGAAAGAATGCGACGAGAGTACTTGGAGTTTTTTCGAGAATCTTGCATTGGTTTAGCGGGTGATCTTCTCTTTCTTGTAAGGCAGAAGGATGTATCGCAGTCATCCTCTCCGGGCAACTGTCATGTGGAGGTGGAGAAGAACACAAGTGAAGGTGAGGGGAGAATGGGGGCTGCGGTTGTCAGTGATAGTGACGGTGATGCGGGGATATTGTCATCCTTTCCTCTGATAGCGGATGAAGATCGGTGGGTTTTCTTTCGCGCCCGCCCGAGCGACAGCCCAACACTTACCGTTGATGAAGTTGCATGTCAAGTATCCGCTTTTTATGAGATACACAATACCGCCAAGTTTCCTATGGCAGCCGTGCTTGCGGAAGGATATGGTGACGATTATGCGGAACTCTTTGATGCCTTGGAGTGCCGCTGCTTCATTCCTAAAAAGTCAATTGCGTCAGTGCAACCAGAAGTGGTGATTGACGTTTCCGAAAATCTACCAGATGAACGGAGAGTCCATTTTCATGGAGAACCGGTGGTTAAGACAGTATTTGGGAGTGATATTCGTGACTCTGGCTGCTTTGTCATGTGATATGGGGGGTTGTAGCGATTACATTGAGCGAATGAGGAAGAGGGGAAGAGAAAATGGAACAAAAATCGTCTTTTTGTGTGTGAAAAATTGGAGATTTTCTCAGAAGCCATTTTGGATACTGCACGAAGCTCGGTTTTGAAAAGTGCGTGACAAATTCCGTTTATTTTGGGTTGTATTGGTGTGTGTGTGTGTGTGCGTATGTGCTTTTGCTTCCTTGCATAGGGGTGTAGAAGGTTCTCCAAGAAGCACGGGTTATAACGCGTAAGCTCAGTTGGCAATATGTACTCTTATGGCAATGGAGACCTTGACAGTCAAGTCCAACGCCTCTTTGCCAACGTAGACTATCAGTTGGAGCAGTGGAATAAGAAGTACGGGTCGAAAAACTTCTGCGTGGCGCCGGACGAAGTCCACTCCGTTGAAAGAAATACTCATGCCTCTGATGCAACCCCCCAATTGAATGTGGACCGCAAATGTCTTGGGTGCATGCAACGTGCAGCGGCACCGAGTTCTACTCATAATTATAACGGCGAAAATCAGAACTACAAAACTCCTACAAGTTACTCGAATGAGGAAGCGGGGGTCGACGTATCTGCACTAGCTGCACGTGTCAGTTTGCTGGAGGAACGGCTGCGTGTGGCCGACAATGAACGCGTGGATTTGAGAACTCGTTTGGACGCCGCACAGCGGCAAATTTCAGACCTTCTTGCGGCTTATAAGGCACTCCAAAATGAGCAGTTTGCATCTATGATGCAAACGTTGTCACAACCGCAGTACGATGATGCGCAGGAAACGAAACGGGGTGATCGTAGCCGTCTTACGGATGACACGGTGACTCCTACTCGAAATTTCAATAGTGTCATGCACTCGGGACCATCAAATTTAACCTCGACCGAGTCTGTGTCTCCCCACGCCGTTTCTAGAGCGCTTGAATCCCATGTGAGCGGGGAGGCATTGGGTGCTGAAATGTGGACCAGGACACCCTCACAAAAGTCGTCTGCACAGGAACGTAAAATGTTGCTTGAGCAATTGGCACGGCGACTTTCCGCTCCTTCGAATTCATGAAAACATGTGACGTGCCACTTCTTTTGTCAAATTGGAGCTTGTGCATTTATTTGAATGGAACGTCATTTTAATATTACATTTGCATATATGTTGTCGTTGTTTTTTCAAACGCTTTATCGATTTCCTGCTACTGAGGCGGAGAGGAAAAAAAGAATAGTTACCAAAAATGTGTTGTTTGTAGGCCTTCTTCACAAATAATGAAAAGGGGATTGAGGTGTGTTTTCGTGAGTATGTTGTTGTTGTTTTTCTTCATCTTCTAACCGGAGCCTTGCGTTGTTTTATCATTATTATTATTATTATTTGGGATTTGCTTTCAAAACAAGGGAGGTGGAGGGAGGGAATTAGGCACAAGGTGGATCCGAATTGGTTGCATGTGTACGCCTAATTGAGCAAGAATGGTGTTGCATGTGGCGCTTCTTGGGAAATCGACTTCCACCCCACTTACTCGGCTGGATCTGTTGGAGGCGTTGCGCCGGAATTCTCTACGTGGCTATCATGCCACTCGGTCCTATCTTTGGACCGAAGATAATCTTTTTACCACTCTCTCCCCAGTGCCGCTTTTTGATGCGAACTCAGTTGGATGCTGCTACTACGCGTTTAGGGCCGAATTGTCCTGCGGAGGGAATAACGAGGATTTTCGAGTGGCTGTGATGCTTCTACTGGACCTCACCGCAGCCGTGGACAACTTGGTTGCCATCGCGACGGAAAAGGAGGACGTGGAATCACATGAAGAGGAAGAAAGTAATTTCCTACTTGTTGAACTTGCAGATGTATTGGAGCAATCCGAGACGACTCGTAGTGATTACCTGAAGCGGTGGGGAGCTGAGGAGCACAACTATCACCTTACGATGGCGCGTCGTGTCCTACTGGCGGCGGGTCATGTTTATTCTCTTCCTCTCTCGTTGGAGTCGTCCCCTTGTACGCCGAGCAGCTATCCGGAACTGCAGTTCCACTTCCTTGCAATGGAAGCGGAGATGCAAAATCGGTGTCGTGAAGATGCGTTAACAGAGGCCTTGCATAAGTGGGCCAATGAAGTGGAGCGAGTCATGCGAGAAGAATCGTTTCACCTTGCGGTAGCAGCGGTTCCCATTTCTGTGGCTGAGCTCCTGGACGCTCACCCGCAGCTTGTACAAACGGCACTCCTGCATCACACCGTTCGACAGCCGTTGTCATGGCTTGCGGTTGGAACACAGTTGTCGTCGTCCTCTACGCCATTGGAAGGCGTTGTTAACGGCGTCATACAAGAGTACCGTGTTTTGGTGCAGAACAAACTTTACGTGCGGGTGCCCCTTCGAATTTCGCGCTACTCCTTTGCCCATTTGTTTTTTGCGGGCCTTCCTCGTGTGCTTGCGGAAAAGCCATTGTCACGAACAGAGACGCCGTTGGCGTTATTATCCCACGTGGGAGAGGGTGACGAGGAGGTGGAGGCCGATGAAAGAGAACTTCTACTTGGGTTACAGCTAACAATTGCGCTCCACAGACTTCGTTTCGAGGTTAAAGGAGAACATACTTTCGTCATTGAGCGGTTTCTTCAAGAACTGCAGTGTAGAAATGAGAAGGGAGATGTTGCTGACATTACGCCCGAGAACGCGTCGCTGCGGCGGGAACTTGATCGCCTACGGCGAAAACTGATGCCTGTGGCTACTATGCGTGGAGACTCCATCGATTGGATGCGATCCTATGCTCAGGAGGCTGCAATGGACTACAATGTGACGGAGAAGGAAATTGCCCGTCTAGAGGCATCCATGCTGGACAACAGCGAAAGTGGCACCTTATCCGCTGACGATGCTGACGATGCATTCTCCAATAAGGATGACGAGGCTGCTTCAGGTGTGTCGCAGCAGTTGGAGGAGATGGATTCCTTTTTGGGGGCACGGATGTGCGAGGCGGTACTCAGTGGCTCTGATGTTGAGGAGGCAGCACTGACGAATGTGGCAGATAACTTTCTCTTCCTTGAGACCGTGCAAATGCTCGCACAGGATGATATCCCCGCGAAATAACCCCACAAGGAAGGAGGAGGTGCAAAAAAAAAAAAACCCACAGCCCGCAGTGGACTCAAATAAAAAGGTGGTTGATGAAAAAAAGGAGTGGACAAACATTCGGGGTATTGGTGGGTTGGGAGAAAAAGAGAATAGTTTATTTTTCTTTGATTCCTGTACACCCAATTTGCCTTTTTATTTGGTCATTTTTTGTTATTTCTTCTGATAAAACACAAAATAACCGAAGAAAATATAGTGCGGCCACGAAAACTGATCAAGAAGAACACAGAATAAAGGGGAAGAGAATGACACGATTGGATGTGAACGGGTTGTGTGCACTCCACATTGGCAGGGAGCTTGTAAATTGCATGGATGTTTCATCGAAGTACCTGCTTTGGTGTGTCGAGGGCGGTAGAGCTGCAACGCTGCACATGTGGGAATCTCGCAGAGAGCAACCTTTTGCAGAGCCGCTGGTGGAGTTGGGCTTCACTCCCACCCTCATCTCATCTTTTGAAGAAAAAGTCGTCGTGGTAGGCGACAGAGTTGTGGCACTATTCACAATTGAATGGTCGCCTTTTTGTCCTATTGATTTACTTGGAGATGTAGATGAGGAAGAAAGGGGGAAACCGATGATTACAGAAGAGTTCACGTGTAGCGATATCCCTGCAGATGTGACGCACATCTCGTGGGCTCCGGACGGAGCTACAGCCGCCCTTTCATCACCACAACAACTTGTTTTGTTGGATTGTCGCGTCGGATACAATAACGCAAATCACAGTGCACATAAAATTCGGCCCTGTCTAACGGTTGATTGCTGTCATTGGTATGGTGATCCTGGTGCTGCCTTCACTGCATTCACTGCGAGCCGACTCTTTCTATTGTCTACTCGTAATCATCTTGTGATGACTCGTTACGGCAACAGTGATGTTTACGATGACCACAATGATTCTATCTTTATTCAACTACAAATTGAGAGGGATGGCCACATTATTACACGGGCCCGTCGTGTTACATGTTTTGAGGTTGGCGGCAGTGAAGAAGGAAATCTTGTCGTGGGGCTTTCGGATGGGACGGTGAAGCTGCTGCGGCAGGATTCAATGGAGGTTTTCTTCACTCTTGACGTTACGAAACAGTTGTACCGCATGTCAATCCGACCACCGCCGGGCATGGGGGAGTCCGGTTTGGAGGTATTGAGTGTAGCGGTTGGCCATCAATGGATGGTGTTGATGCGACCAGATGCTTTCATATGCTACGATAAGAAATCTATGGATTTGCTTGAGGAAAAAACGGTGATTCTCTCCGGTGAGAGGGCCGTGTTGTCAGCGTGCTCAGGTAACGGGTCATGGTGCATCTGGTCACCACAAAATCAGGAGCTTCTTTATTATCGAGCTCCCGTACAGATGTTTTTGGGGAAAGACAGCAAATTTGATGTTGTGCATGCCCAAGGCCCACTCCCATCACGCCTATTGGAGCCGCTTTTGCTGCCGTTTCAACAGGAAACCATTGCTGGATTCAATGGGAGAGGGGCTGATAGGAAGAAAAATAAAAAGAAGCTTGTGGCCGAGAGGCCGGTAACTTACGGTCATCCTATTAAAAGCAGTGGATACGCAAGTGACGTGCCATGGAGCGTCCAGCAGCAGCGTGCCAAGCAGGTGCGTGAAAAGAATCGAAAAGGAGCCAGGCCTCTTCCTTCAGTTCCCTCGCCTTTAAGATACAAATCCTTGACGTTCCCTGGGCATGCTTTTGAACCCATGACAGCAGCAAACAAGATCCTCTTGTCTTCACCCATTCATCGAGCTATAATCACGGCAGCAGTTTTCTCTGCTGGCGGGTCAGCGCTTTTGACAGCCTCTGGTGACACCACCGCAAACTGGTTAAAGTACCCTGTTGCGAAGAACGGGGGCGAAGGCACCTTGATGGAGATTCATACCGGCCCAGTGAACACGATTGACGTCAGTCTCTCCCTTAACGCACCTCTCGTCGCAACCGGATCCTCAGATGGCGCAGTGGCGATGTGGCAACCCACAAAACGAGAAGCGCCTTACATTGTGCAAAACGTTGGCAAGGAAGTAAGGGCTGTTAAGTTTTTCTACACGGACAAATTTATTTGTTACGCCGCCAAAAATACAGTCTCCTTCTGCCGCTATGCCTTGGATGACGGTGGTGGTGAGCTGCATCGAAAACGCAATGAATCCAAGATGGAATCTGTTTTAGAGTTTACTGCCGATTCAGCTCAGCACGTGGTTGCTTTGGACGCGATAAACTACTTTACTTCCAATATTATGGTTTGGGCAGGATCGAACAAGTCGGTTGGCATCTACGACGTTTCTGTCGGGCAGAACATCCACGTCATGGAGGAGGCCCATTTAAATCCCATCCACCATGTTGCGATGGTCACATCCGGCCGTTACGCCTCGCCCAGTGCGAATGTTTTACATATGTACTTAACAGCTGGTTTAGACACCACGGTGCGACTGTGGGACATTCGCCAGCGGCGATCCGTGCGGCAGTTGGCGCTTCACCGAAACACCGCAACTCCGGTTGGTGTGGCTTTTTCCCCCAACGGAGCCCTGGTGGCAGTTGGTAGCGAAAATCGAAGGGTATATATCTACGATGTGGGTTCCGGCGCGGTTGTTGATACAATAGATGTAGGTGATACACCCACCGCCCTCAGTTGGCATCCTTTGGAAAGTGTCATCGCTGTGGGCTCGGCTGCAGGCTCCATCAAACTGATGGGGCAACGTTAAACATGAAAGAAAATGGAGACAAAATCCTGAATTATTTGGTATGAGGAATTGGAGGGCGGCAAATTGCGCATGGACCAGTCTTACTTGCCCCATTGTGGGGGCGCTGTGTCTCTTTCCCTCTTTTTTTGTTGTTTTGTTTTGTTTCGTTTGGGTCTTTGTGTATGCCCGGTTACTTTTTTTTATTATCTCTTTCCCACTCTCTCTATCATTGTTTGTGCAGCTGAATTGTTGTCTTTTCAACCTTTTCAATGGTTCTTCTTTTTTTTTTTTTCTTGTGGGGATGTGTTTGTACCTGTGAGGA